AGGGTCAACAGAACTCCGCGGTTTTTTAATACTGATATAAAGGAAGTTTATTCATGTAAGCAAAACAAAGATAAAGTATCGTACAAAATCAGAGCGCGAAGAACATCTAATCAGAACGCTAGTGTCGATAGTGCACTGCGAATAACACAGAAAGAAATATTCGTCGAGCGCGAAGCTCATTAGAGCGCGAATATAGAATACGAACAGATATATAGTCGGAACGCAAGTACAAACAAAATAAAATCGGAACGCGAATAACATATAATACATATAATACAAAATATAATACAACAGAAATGCTCTCTGAGTGTGAATATAATTAGCACGCGAATATAGAATGGGAAAAGAAAGATAATCGGAACGCAAGTACAAACAAAATAAAATCAGAACGCAAATAACATATAATACAACAAAATGAAATCAGATGCAACGACATGTAATATTAAAGAATATTTAGATCGGGTGCGATTCCGGCGCGTAAGCGCATTTATTCTGACGGGCAGAATCTATCGTTAACAGGTGTCAAGGTGGATCGGTATTTTGTCGGAGGTGGGGAATCCGATAATGATGGCCATCAGGATCACTTTCGGGGGTAACGGCAAACGCGCGGGTATAAGAAGTCGTGGGACGTAACGGCTACGCGAAAGGGCGCGTTAAATTTCAGAAGGTGGTACGGCGCGTACCCCCCCCCCCCTCTGTGGGCTATCGAACAGGTAGACGCGAGAGAGTGGGCGGCGCGTCGCGGAAGACGCGAGAGAATTCTCTCGCGGGAGAATTTCAATCGACTCGTTATGTAAGAGCAATTTCGCCTCCGCCGAACTGCAGGTAGTAAGATGCACCGGCTGTCGCGTTAGCTCGACACCAGTGGAGGGTAACCGGTGCCGTAAGGAAAGAAGTTATTATTAGAGAGAGAGTGTCGATCGGTCCCGCGACAAACTTGAGAGAGGCAGAGTACGGTTCTACCTCAAGTGCCGACGACAAGATGGCTCTCAGGATGTTCGGAGGTCTCCCGGGTGTTGAGATTTCTCAGCAGAGGCAGAGTACATTTCTACCTCGACTCGGGGCACCGGTTCCAGAGATCCGGATAGTTTCGGAATCGGAGACGAAATTGATTTGTCTCTAGATCTATCTTTTATACCAACGAACTAACGATACTTAGCGGCGCGGCGGCGGTGTTCGTCCGGATTCGGTAGCCGTCGGGCGCGCTCGGTTTCGGGCCGTATCACGCTGTACCATGATAATTATACGCCGTTCTATCGGCTTTATTGAAAGTAATTATGGAGCGCGAAGCATTCGCTGCATTGCCCGGCTGGTGTTTGCCGGGCGCAGCCTTCCGACGATCAGTCGGGACGATGGGCGGGCCATCGTTACAAGTTTATGTTAAAGTCTCTCATTACAATTTTATCTTTTTTAATTTTTCTACTAGTCTATTATTCTGTAGAGACCTTACAAAATCACCATTCGATACAATAATATATTAAGTAAATGATATATTACTCTTGTAACCCACAAATAGTTTAAGTTAATTTACGCGCGTTCACTATCAGACAGTTAGAAGATGGCTCTGGTGTAGACACCATAGCGCGGCAGAAGTCCTGATTGCGCTTTCTTCTTCTTTTAATCCGATCAAAGGGCTCGAATTTGCGGGCTGCGAAGCGAGTCAGTCTTTGTTTAATAGTTATCTTATAAAGAAATACTGGTTATCAAAAATTACTATAATTAGTTGCTGCCCGCACTAATATTTTCTATCCACGCGCTATTCTGAGCCCGAGGTTTTTGTAATTATTCCGACTAATCACATAATAATAAAGACCTTACATTATTATCACATTTTCATTATGGTAAACTAATAGTCGATACTATCTTTTTGTCAAAAATATATCATGTTCAATATCGTCTCTTACATATAAAACAATTCCTCTACTTCTATTTTCAACATCACATCTAATCATACTATGTATAATCCTATATGTTCACTTTACTATTTTCAAATTCAACTGTATAATTAGTATCAAACTAATCTGGCCTTCTTTTTTGTACCACTCTTTTAATACATTGTAAATCAAATCATGTTCATAATTTATTTTTATATATGTTTGAATTTTAAACATTCAATTTACACATCTTTCTTTGTCACTGTACATTCACTCATGGTTTACTTTATCGTTTTCTACATATTTGACATGTTGTACATGTATACAATTCTTTGCAATATAATTATAAACTCAACATTGAAACATTATTTGGTCTTAATGTTAACATATTCAATTCGGTAAACGCGAAATAAACGAGCAATGAGAGCCTAACGTAGAAGTTCGTGCATTAGATAGCGAAAATTAATATCTCGCTATGCATTATAATTGTACACGGGGCACGAAATTTTGCTTGGCACATGCCAAGACTTTATTAAAAAATAAATTCTCAATTCAAGATTTTGATTCCTATGTTTCCCTATAATCCTCTTAAAGAGATGTAAGCGAGAAAAATATCGGTCCGAAATCGTTGAATCGGGAATTGAACCCGAGTCTTTCGCTTGCCGGGCGACTGCAATTTTTTGAATAACGTTCGCCTAGACGACGCCAAACTCAGACTTGTCTGTCATTGCCAAAAATGTAAAATCTATATTCATTCGTAAATAATACAGAATTCTATTGTCTTTGTTGCCTGTTGATTAAAGAATAAGCATAATTTAATCGCAGGCGACGATGACATCGTGTAAGATATGGAACCTGCACTGGCCGATGAGCGTGTAATCCTGCTTCTCTTAAATGATTTCTTATCATTGAAGTCGAGATCGGATGTCGTCTACCATGATTAATATGGTCAGCAATACGTGCAGATACAGGACGACTTTGTACAGCTTGCCGGACGATCGCTCAATCTTCGCGATTATCTGTTTTACGAAGATGACCCTGACCCGGTTGTCTGTGATATGAACCAGTCAAAATAAATTCGACTAACGGCAGAATGACTTCCTCCAAAACGATCGGCAACGTATCATTGATTGTTATTTTTCTCTAAAAGAGTCATGATATGAGCACAATCTGCTTCATTTAAATGACGCAGAAGCATTGCAAAATAAATAAAAAAAGAAAAAAGAAAAAAAATGTAAAATGTACAGGAAAGAATAAAGAAATTTAATATTAAAAATAACCTTTACTTACAAAAATAAACAGTAAAGATATTACAATTGCTAATAAAATAGAATTATCCATACTACATGTGCATAATTACAACGAATTCGAGTAGGAGGGCGCACGGCTTTAAGGTATTGGACTTGAAGTGTTTTCACTTAACATTGCCATCTAGTGGTAAAACGTCGCGGTTTGCGTGCGGCATGCAAACACTCACGAGAGAATTTCCCGATAATGCTTCGCGAGTCATGTTTGGCGCGTTGCTATCCAGACACTTGTATAATGGTAAACCTTTACATTTCCGCCTGCGATTTTCAATTTCTTTTTTAATTTTGGCAGAGAGAAAAAGTGAAAAAATTTTTTTGCTAACACTTAGTAAAAGTCAGTGTAGTGTCAGTGCACTGTAAAAATCAATTTTTTAACATTAACTCTATTCTCCATTTTTTTTTACTAAAATGAAACAATTTGACAACTTCTTGTCCCATAAAAACATAGTGACCACCATGAAAAAAATCCTACAGCTATTCGCCGATTTTTTTGTCAAATTTATGGTACTTAAAAGTAGAAAAAATGTGAAGAACAAACTTTTGTTCTATACAATTGTACATTAGATTAAAATAAAAAAGAAAAAGTAATTTTTATGTTATTTTATTTATATGTAACCAGATTTTTGTTAAAATTGTGATAATTATTTCATTTAATAGAGCAAAGTTCCAGCTTTAATCGTTTCTTAAAATTGCGGTATGATATTTGACAAAGTTATAAACCATTAAAGTCAACATGCTCATTTTTTATTTAATTGGCGATAATTGAGTAATAAGGAATGTAAAAAGATGAAAAAAGACAATTTTGTTAAGAAAATTTAAAACTTTCAAAAACTAAAAAGTTGAAAAATTTCATAAATTTTTTTTGATACACGTACCAGGTCGTAAAGTAAGAAAAATTTCTAATTTTATCCAGTTTGTAGTTTTCTACGTGTAAAAATTACCACTCTCACAAAAATTTAAAGAAGTAGTGAGTTTTAAAAGTAGAGATTGCAAGCTTTAAAACCCTTTCCTTAATTATGAATTTTATTCAATTTTAACGAAAAGCTATAGTTGTCATATATATACGAGGTGGACAAAATAAAGCATTACGAATTTTTATATTCAATAATATTGTTTCTAGGAAAAGTTTCAAATAAAAGTTGTATGATTTAAGGAGAGAAAAAGTTGGCGGTACTGATTTTTTCCTGAAGAGCGATTTTCAAGGTTATTAGAAGGTCACTTACTTTTTTTAAATGCAAGCACCATATGATACAGTGGATAGCTTACGAGATATTATATACTTAAACTATGAAATATCTCGTAAAATATTCATTTATTGATGATCTCACTTTAATACTTTCATGCATAAAATAACAAAAGAAATCAATGAGTGCAAAAAAAGTTTATAAAAAAATATATGTTGCTAGTTGCAAATTACATACTCTTTCTTATAAACAACTATGTGTTTCCTTTGTACCCAATTAATCTCGTTATTTTGTGTATAAAAATATTGAGGTAAGATTATCGAAGACTATATATTTTACATAATATTTTATAGTTTATGTAAAATTATGTTAAACTTAAATATAAAATATCATAAACTATTCACTTTTTGACCATTTTACTTATAACTTATTATGCAAAATATTGCGAAAAATTGCATTCCCTAAAATCATACAACTTTTATTTGGAACACATTTTTCTACAAACAATATTTTTGGATATAAAAATTCGTAACGCTTTATTTTGTCAACTCTATAAACATATATATATGTACACACTATATGATGTGAATTGTTATTATTAATTAATTACAAAAATCAATTATAATGTGTTACAGAACCTTTGACGGAATTAAATCATCCATTTCATTTACATGGTTATAGCTTCTGTGTTATGTATGCTGGCCAATTTGTTAATGCACCTAACAAGAACAGTATAACAAATAAGGATGTCATGAAAGAAATTAAAGCTCATATGTCACGTTTAGAAAGTGGTTATTATAAACACTGTGCTCCTAAAGATACTGTAATTGTACCAAATACTGGTTTTGTCATCTTACGGTTCAAGGCAGATAATCCAGGTTAACATAATTTTTATAATTCTATTGTTATTTTGCAACTCTATAAAAATGTATTATTATAGATAATATTACATATGTAAATATTATACAATATAATAGTATAAATAATTATGTTTAATTATTAAAAAATGCAACTCTAAAGTATAATTTAAAAAAACAAATAAAAACTTTAAAAAATCAATAAATTTTTTAAATAGTTTATATTTAAGCATCCTTTACTTTAAATTTAAGATTTTTACACTTGAAATAAATAATCGATCAGAAATAATATTTATCTTCTAGGTTGGTGGTTTTTTCATTGTCATTTTACATGGCACGCTGCAAGTGGAATGAACGTTGTCTTACATGTTGGTACGCCATATGATCTGCCACCTGTACCACGTGACTTTCCAACGTGCTACAATTGGACACCACAACCTCGAAATTAATCTATTGATTTATATAAGTGAAATGAAAGAAAGATTATAAAAGTTATAAAAACTTTTAATGTTTGTCAATTTCTTAAAATATATTATACCATGTATGTCTCTAAATAATATATTATATCATATATGTCTCTAAATAATAATATATTATACCATTCCCGATTCAGCCGACCTTCGGACCAATATTTTTCTCACCTATTTTTTTACAAGGGGATTAAAAGATTAACACGGGCAATTTTGAGATCTCAACCATAAAATACGAATTCCTAAGTTTCTTAATTTTCGCAATAACATCGCGTTTGGCTCTATTGGCTAATATAATATATATTGTAAGACTACTGGTTAGGAGAGTTAATCATATTTTTATATACCGGTAGTTATGCAAATATGCGCGCATCACTAACATAAGTGGAGCTGATCGGCCCACAAGAAATAGGAGCTGCCGAGTATTATTACGCGCGTCGATGATTGGTGAAAAGATGGTCACGCGACTCGGCGAGACGAGTGAGGGTGCAGTCGAGTAGGCAGTCTTTGTACAAGTCTCAAGGACAGATAGACAGACATGTTGAGGGTTTTTAAAAAATACACGAATCATTTCCTTTGTGAACCACAGAGGAGATTTCATTTTCCACATTTCCCTCCTTCTGCTATTCTGACCCTATTTTTAGCAAGTATTTTACAGTTTAGAAGTGGGATCTTGTGTTTTCTCTCTCCTGACTGGTTTTTGACTGTGTTGCAAGTAGTTTTTCGAGTCAGTGACCATTCAAGTCCGTTTTCTCAAGTTTTTCACATACGGGTCGCGCGTTTCCTGGTCGCAGCTTATCTGTTGTGATTCAATCTTTTCACGTGTTCGAGCTTTCGGTGAGACGCATACCAGTGCCTCGTGAGACGTACCGAGTCCCAGCCTCCTCTCCCGTTTTATGGTATTACTGCCATAGGCGTTTCCAGTTTTACGTGCTTTATTTTTCGTCAGTGCGTGTATACGCTGACTAATTAACATTGGACATATACTTTATTATTGAATTTCAGGTGTTCCGACAGTGAAAAGCATGCAATTACGTTGCTCTTTCACTTCCTCTCTCTCTCTTCCTATCTGTGCATCGCCACAAAGGAAAGAACAGATATATTGGCATTTGTTTCAAGTGAATACGGGATCTCACATCAAGCTATCCAGCGAGCCGCTATTTTGTCGGGGTGATTGTGTGCCAAAATTTTGACACCAACACATTTTCTCTTCAGTGCCTTACTCAAGTCTCATTCAAGTGCCAAGACGACGGTATCATCGAACAAGAAGAATGGAACATCAGCATTTATAAGAGCTAATGTTCACACTATTGTGTGAACGAAAAAGCAGCTGGTTACGGGTTACGTGCCCCCTACAATAGGTATAGCTGTATTGACTTAATTATGTCTCATCTGGAAAGAAACGAACAGCAGAATATACCTAGTAGTGGTACAACTGCCTTTGCCTTGACGTCATCTAGTGTTGATACGGTACGTGTCACAGATGCTCAACATTCTAATATTTTGTCGGATGTCAGTTTACAGCCCGTGATAAGTGAGGGATCTCTGCTTCAGATTTGCTCTATGAGCAATCACGTCAACAGCAACAGCTGATGCAACAGCTTTTTGCTTCAATAAATCTTAATAGTAACGCAGCCTGTCACTCCCCTGTGAAGATCGCAAATGTCACGGTGGATTCACATGGCCCTACAGAGGAACATTGTTCTGGAATATCATCAGTTTCAATAGCGCATGCGGTCAAGCTCCTGTCAACTCATCTTCCAGATTTCCATAGTACAGAGAGGAAGACATTGAGAATTGGATTCACACTGTAGAAAGGGTGGCCCAAATCCATGGCGTGACCAATGAAGTACTACTACTGGTTGCTACGGGCAAACTCAAAAAGACAGCTCGTAAGTGGTTTGATATGAATATTTGCTCTCTAATCAAATCTTGAATATATTTCAGAGAAGCTATTTTAAGACGCTTTAAGCGTACGGTACTTTTCTACGTCACTCTACAAAAGGTGAAAGCCCGCAGATGGAACTACTTGAAAGAATCGTTCGTATAAAAGGGGGGCCCGGACATCGCTCTTTGTCAGTCGAATCATCGAGCTCACCGTACGCGCATCTCACCGCATGGGATCCGATGTTCCAGGAGTCTCACAAATTACCCGTGTTACGGACTTAGCAAAATTTTGGACGTAACGCCGAGTGTTATATTATAACTGTTGGAACTTAGAATCTATTCGGATAACACTATGCAGTGGCGTACTAGTGACACTTGCCCGTAAAGACTTAGAAATATTTTCGAACATCTCATATTTTGCATATGCAGAACTTTGTAAACCGTTCCGAGTTACGTGAAGTGAACACGTGCGTGTGGCGTGAGCACAACCCAAAAAGTGCGAAATAAATCATTTATGGAAACATTGTAAACATTTGATATAATAAATTTCTAAATTATTAATCTTAGTCACTAGTTATTAGAATAGGAGAGTAGAAATAATCAACCAAAACTAGCGTTATTATTTATATTTTGTTTATTAAAACAATCACTACGTTTTGACCATTTAGTTGTGATCCTTTTTAAGTGAACATTAAAATATATAATTATTAACATACGCAATTCAATATATGACAAAAATTTATAAAAAACTAAATTACTAACAATATATATCATTAAAATTAAATCTTCATACAAACATTTCAAAGTTAATGATTTAAAAATATCTCGCGAAAATAGGTCAGACGCTAGAAATGCAGTCATTGACTCTCTAAGTAAATTCTTACGTAATAAAAAACACCAATTATGTAGACAGATTGATTTTGGAAAGATTTTCCGCTTATAAAGGGTTTTCTAATTCAAATAAGGAACTTAATAAAGGACGCGTAAATATCTTAGTTACGCGTGCAGACAAAGGACAAACAACTGTAATCATGGACAGAACAAATTATTTACGAAAAATGAGCTTTCTACTTAATGATCGTAGTACGTATAGAAAACTTGAAAAAAAAATCCTATGAAACCTCTAACGAATAAATTAAATTCATTGTTAAAATTGTGGCGACTTAATGATCTTATCGATGATAGAATATATAATGCTTTGAATTGCACAAATAAAAATTTACCACGATGTCACGGGCTTCCCAAGATACATAAGAAGGGTTTTTCACTGTGTCTCATTGTATCTTTACTTGATAATCCGTTTTATAATTTAGCAAATTATATTCATAACATTATACATTGTTCCGTCGAGAAACCAAAGTCGCACATAAATAATGGATGGTTATTCTCAGAAAATATTAAAGATAGAACAATTAATGATTCTGAAATAATGATTTCTTTAGATATTTCATCGCTATTTACTAAGATTCCTAAGAATTTAGTTATGAGGGGTATTGAAATGCGTTGGAAAAATATATCAAAGAATACAAATTTAAATTTAGAACAATTTTTACATGTAATAAGTTTGATTTTAAACTCAACTAGTTATAGATTTGAGGGGCAATTATATGAACAAATTTATGATAGTCCAATGGGATGTTCTTTATCCCCAATTTTAGCTGACATAATTATGGACGATTTGAAATCACATTGTTTGGACGTGTTGAATTTTTCGATACTAGTTGTGGCGACTAACCACAAAATAAATAAGAAAACTTTTTCGAGAGCGCAAATGCGGCAACCGGCCGTATTTAATTCTTTTCTCGAGAAACAACTATAGCAGCCGCCCGCGACTATTTATTTGCAAAAAGAGTGAGCGCGGGCGCGCCACCCGCACGATAGTAGCTCGCGCTGCCGCTACGCGGCGCAAGCGCCAAATGTACTACCCGCAGTCAAGATACACTTACGCAGGGTGTATAAGGAAGCCCCCTGCGGCGAGAAAAACACATTTAGTACTTTTCCGAACTAATGGCGCTAGACGCTAATAGATACGGGAAAGGATTGAGCAAGATCTCAATTAAGAGGCGATTTGAGGAAGACCTCGCAATAGTCCGGAAACGGACCCGGCCAACTCCACTGTATAAGTTAGCGCAGAAGAGGACAGGTGAGCAGCTCCCTGCAAAGAACCAAAAAAGTCCTTCTAAAGACCCGCAACAGTATTCTCGCATCGTCAGCAATATACTATTTACAGGCGTATACACGCTACGACAGCCCGGAACTCCTGGCGCTTGCCCACCGGAGAAGACAGCTGTCCCCGGCATTAAACTGCCGGAACAATCACCAACTCCTGGCGCTACGCCGCCGGAGCGACCACCAGCTCCTGGCGCCACGATGCCGGAACAGCCATCAATACTTAGCGCTACGCCGCTGGAATGGTCACCAACTCCTGGCGCTACGCTGCCGGAACGGCTCCGAACTCTTGGCGCCACACTGCCCGAGTTCACGAGAACACCTGGCGTATACACGCTAGTGAAGCCGAAACCTACAGGTAAATACCTGTTCAGAGAAACCAAGACTCTAGACGTCAATCCGCCTAAACCAGCAAAGTTTCCTGGCGTACTCCCGCTGGAATTTAACAGTATTATACCTGACGCTACGACGCCGGATTTATTCAACTTTTGCTTACCTGGCGTATCACCGCCAAACACTAATCATCTAATTACAGGGTTACTAGCCATACCAGCGCCGGATGACGATGTTGACTGGAGCATACTAAACAGCCCGTCTAGATCTCCTTTGAAAGAGAGATCTCCTTTACGTGCAGTGTTCTGGAGAGTCCCACCGCTGATTTCGCCATCTGTCTCACCGCCGAAGAAAACGTTCAAAGACGCCGCCACACAGACGAAGCATAAAGAAGGGCAGAAAAGACGCTACCAATGGAAGAAGTTCCACGACTATAATAATAATAAAAATTCACGAATGTACAAGGAGAACCATACTCCTAAGAAAGCATCTAGAAAGATGCGGTATTAATATATAAATTACGTATTTAATTGATTTACGAAAGAAAAACCTAAATTACCAAATCCGAATCCTAAGCGTACGTCACCCTATTATAAGGAAGCATCTAGTTATAAATAATAAATAAACATACTTCGCTTCAC